GTCTTCGTATGTAGTTCTACATAATGCAGACTTCTTTCTGATGGACAAGACCTCAAAACTGTGATTCATACCAATAAAGAGGATATTGTTGTGGATGACCTACCTGTACTATGTTCAGTCCTTCTCAGAGATGCTTCTTTCCAGGCTGGACAAAAATAAGAGCAAACTAAAGTTAGTCTTAACATCTCTCCTACCCAACGCCAATAGAAACAAAGGAAAGAGCTCAGAAGAGAAGGGCTAGCTAGATTCATGGTGGCAAAGGACATCATCTAATTCCAGTTTACCTAGACAGAGAATTTAATGGAAGATGAACAGGGAGCTTATAGGATCTATAGAGAATCAGGCTTGAAAATGGGTTGGCTTCAAGAAAATGAGAGGTCTGGGATGATGGCCCAATCACATCTCAAAAACAGCTTGATTTGGATGCCATGGTCCCTAGATACTGGACGATTACTCAGACCACTGCCTGTTGATGCTAACACCACCACCCTGGGAAAGAACTCTAAACTGACCCTGATTCTTTGTGTCCTGGCTTCACACTTGAAGTTCTGAGCAGGAACATCTGGCTAGCAGAGCTTAGATCCTGTGCCCATGAACTAGCTGGTCTTGCCTTCTTACCAAGACTCACATAATAATGGATTTTCCAGTTTCTGGAATGAGTTTCAGATGGTGGTGAGCCAAAACAAGAAAGAAATTAGGTTTATTACAATCGCGCTCTTTTGCTGTTCAACATCTACATACACTGTGACTCCTCTGTTTTCTCTTTGGGAAAAAACCTTTCTGCTTTGATAATGGAGCTCTCCATGCAGTTGAACCTTCATACTTCCTCTTTACAAAGAGAGCTTCTCCAGTGGCTAGCTGGCCCAGTGGTGGAGCATCCCTTTCTTGGATTCAGAAACTCTAACCTGGTAGAGTCCAGCCCAGGAGAGAGAGAGTCATTTGGTAAAATGGAGGTGGCACCATCCCCACTCTCCCTTCTTCTAGATCTGCTTAGTCTGACAATGAGAGAAATCACATCACATATGGATCACTCATTCTGAACAGACAGCCATCTTAAAGAGCAGTATCTCATGCTCATTAGATATTGGCTCAGAGCAGGTCATGAAACCACATCCTCAAGAACTCATGTCACCGTCCAAAACAGATGACTACTTCTGGGTGATGGGATCAAAGTGCAAGGGTATCTGCCCATTGCCTTCCCTCTTCAACTGTAACGTGGATTCCTTGGTCAGAAGCAGTGTGATCTAGGATGCCATGGTGACAGGACAGGTGGGGAGGCAATTCCAAATCCAGGCATATGAGCCTGCCTCCAGGAGGAGAAACTGCTGCCTTTTCTTAATGGAAGAGGTGCAAAGTGTTCAGTCTGCCACTCAGCAGTCTATGGGACTACTGGATTATCATCAGTATCCAGGGTCAGAGGTCATCGTTGATCCTATGCACACTCAGTGGCCAGATCTGATGGATGAAGACAGCTGAGTGGTTGAATCCATGCATTCTTCCATCTTTGGCAACACGGCCACTTTTATTCTTGAATCCGCTGGGAAAGTGACAACGCCCCTGGGGAAAGAAGCTGTCGTTCAATGAGTAGGCAGACTTATCGACTTAATTAGTAAGAATCTCCTCCACAGTGGAGACTTTGGGTGACCTACTCGAGGGACAACTATGTTCACATTTGCCCCATTCTGAGAGGTGCAGCCATATATGCCTCCCCAAATGTCTTTGTCCCTAAACCTCTAATCTTGCTTTTTTCAAGTAGTTGACCATTTGGCCAGACCATTTGTCAGTGTTCATAACCTGGTGTAGCTTCTTGCATCGAACCATTTTCCCTTCCAAGCAGAGTGGATGTAGAAATGTGTGTTTAGATTTCTCCCCACTGGGAGGTTTTCTCTTCACCTGCTGTCTTCAGTGGAACCATAACATCACAGCAGTCCATTTCCAGATCAGGCCAGCTTATCACACAGCTGTCTTATAAACTAGGCTCAGCATTTTTTCCTCTTTGTCACTGGGAAACTTCCCCTGAGGCCACTGTTAGGGTGCTGGAGGGGTCAGGAATAGGAACAAGCACGTGGGGATTGTGAGCTACCTGTGCCTTCAGGACCTGGCCAGGCCTAGTCCCATATAAGCCATTTCCAACTAGTAATGGGATTTTATAAGTATGTTGGATGATCTAGTACCTGGTGGACTGCTGGGGTCACAGATGACAATCTGGGAGAATCACCTGGTGTCCAATGGTCAGTCTGTTTAGGTCTGGAATTTCCTCTTAGCTTTTCATGCTAGCCCAGTAAACACAGAATCTCTGGAACAATTGTTATGTCAATAAATTAAGACTAATTTAAATGTATGTTCTCCCTTCCATTCCCCACACATTTTCTCCAGATTTGTCAATAAAAGAGAAAAGTCCTGAAACAATGTTGGTTTCAAATCCTTACCCTCCCTGGCTTGAAACTGCCGACGCCCTCCCTACAGGGGCATGCTGGGTTATGACTCCATCATTTCTGGGGACCAGACAGGGTCTGGCATGAGAGCTGGCTTTCTCTTGTAAGGTGACTCCTTTAGGCAAAGCAATGACAGTGTCTTCAAGAAGTGTTTCAGAAGAAAAACTGGAGAAAAGGGGCTGTTTCAGCTGACAAAGGAGGGAAGCCCTTTGAGAATCGAGAATTCAGACAATTCCAAGTTTTCTAAATCCTCCCCTAAAAATATACCCATTTTTATTCTCTGGGTCCTTCTGCTTCCTGGATCAATGCTCCATTTTTTTTTTTAATGAAAAGGCTATAATTTGACCAGAGTAGAAATTCAGTCAGTTCTTGGGAATTTGCATTTAGCTTTCTACGTTTCTCAGTCCTACAGACACAAGAGGTAAGAAGGTATTTAAGAACCGCCATGGAAATCCCTAGGCTTCCCGCTGTCGTTTGAGCAAATGATTTCAGGACTCCGGCTTGCCAGTGTCTTTTTTTAAGCTGCTAGCACCACTTAAAAGGCCTGGCTCTCAGTCCTAATATCCTTGACTCTTTGATGGCAGAACCAACTCATTCCCTCAAGGCTTTGCTTTCTACGGACTCCTTGAGTCATCCCAGGGGCCTGGTATGACAAGAGCGGAGATGGGGGTAGGTATGGGCGTCTAGATCTTTTCTGGGACATCCTCATCCTGCTGGGCCGAGGGAAGGCGCAAAAGGCCGTTAGTCAGACTGTGAGCCAGGCAGAGTGCTTCCGGTCCTGGCCGCTGCCTTTAATCCTCCTTGACTTCAGTATTATTACCGCGCTGGAACAACGAGCGATGCTCCGGGATGCTCCAGGAAGCTTGCTCGCCACAGGGGTGGTATGCAGGGGCTGGGTCGGTTCTGCCTTGCGCAGAGGGTGTCCAAACTGACTTCCCGACCTGAAAGCTTTCCTGATACGACGTCCTGCACACCTCAATAGATGTTGGTTGAATCTGTGAAACGGCCAAATAGGAACCCAGGAGCTGTTCTTTGATTTATTTATTTTTCTCCTTCCTTTTAAATTGAAGTATGATTACATGTAACAAGAGGCACCGATATTTAGTGTATACAGCACCAACCAGTTTTTAACCTGTACACCCAGGGCCGGGCCCTGCGGCAGGCGCGGATTCCTCAGCTCTCGCGGCATCTGCCTCCGGCTGCTGTCCTGGGCCGCACGTGCGATCCGAGGCCGGCTGCACGTTCCTGGGG